ATATATATGTTCATTATATATAACTACACTCATGCGTGTGTACAAGTTTTCATTTGTCACCTAGCACCGTACCCGACACTTCAATCCAATCCCCTCACCGCAAGTGAGTTCATACCCCTTTAACTAACCTTTGAAATACTTTTAAATGTTTTAAATGCTTTTATGGGGGAATACAAGTTGAATACTTATAGTTATTACATCAATCACATGTGATTAATAACTACAAAACCAATGATATTACTACTGTTCAAACTGTTTAACTTCAAACTGTTTTACAAACTCTTTTACTTATCAAATACTTTTACTTAAAATTTTTTATACTTATTATAAATTGCATGTCCGTATATGTATAGTTATATAAGAAATGTTTAAAAGGCTTAGGAAGACCGTCCGAAAGTCGTTTCAATATTAATTATATATCATGTGTACATATATAAACATAAAAGTGCTTCCATATTCTTGCGTACTAGTTACATCATTAGTAAGTTACCATCGGGGTAGCACAAGATCATACTTATACTATTGCTAGATCAATGAGTCAGTTCATTCATGAGTCAGTACTTATTACTATGAGAACATATACAACTATACTAGAATAAGAACATATACAACTATACTAGAAGAAGAACATATACAACTATACTAGAAAAAGAACATATACAACTACACTAGAAGAAGAACATATACAACTATACTAGAAAGAGAACATATACAACGATACTAGAACGAGTAACATTACATTACATATACATGAATACGTTAACAAATTGTGATCCACTGTATCGGAGCATGCCTTCAATGTCATGGCCCGAGTTGTAGCCAGAGTCTTTTGGAGGGAGAGCGTGAGTTTGCATATAGATCATTACTGGATTGACTATCCTACACCTTGCTGCTAGCTACAGCCGAACCTGCAGGTCTGCGGGTGCCAAACGTCATACCTTTTTACGACCTACATTTGTCGTTGTTACCTAGTCGATAGTATGGTACAATTAATCACATGATGCCTTAATATAAATCCGGTTTAAGGTAGTTAGTACAGCAGTAGTTCCTATAATACAACACTACAGTACCACATTAATTTACCCCTTTACATATTTAGTGATCTTTTCACTTAAACATTTATGTACAAACTATACTGTGTTAATGATAGTTATCAAGGGAAAATTACACACTTATACGATAAAGAACATAGAAAACAGTTACACCTTGGTAGAAGGCTACTTTTAATAGAAAATATAGGTTTTTCTAAGAGATTCAAACTTTTACAAACACTTACAAATATTCACATACTTATATTACCAATGTTTACAAACTCATGTTTATAACTACGTTCAAACATTTTGATACAAACACCGACACTAAAATACTTATGAACTCACCAACTTAATGCTGATAAACTCTTTTAAAATAACTTGTATTCTCAGGTCATCAGTAGACACGTACCGAGGCCAACTTTTGAGAAGATGGAGCGCATTCAAGTCTCATCTTATTATTTTGATTTACTCTTTGGTGTCTATAATTGTACGGAACACACTTGTATTAAAATTATATATTTAATGCAATGGATGATGTTGTTTGCTTATTTACTGTTATACTGTGTTGTGACACTTTACATGACGTCCTCCGCCCCAGAACGTTTCCGCCGTTCTTGGTTTTGGGGTGTGACATTCAACGTGCGTCTATGCTTAATTGCAAACCTTCTAAAACACATGTTGATCTTTCTGCTAAGGTTGATAGCTCAGGCCCTCCAGCTGCCGATCACACTTTATGCCGTTGCCTTGCCGGTGTATTATAGTATCTCACGTTCACTAGACCAGATATTTCGTACACTGTCCAATGTATATGTTTATTTATGCATGACCCTCGAGAATCACACTTTATAGCTCTAAAGTGTATTCTTTGCTACATACGTGGAACTATAGGGCATAGTCTTCAATTTTTCAGCTCTCTGTCTTGTGACATCATTGCTTACTCTGATGCTGATTCGGCTGGTTACCCAGTCACCCACGATCTACATTCGGATATTGTGTCTTTTGGGGACACAACATGTTGTCTTGGTCATCAAAATATTAGAATATCGTTTCTTGGTCTAGTGTTGAAGCAGAATATCGAGGTGTTACCAATGTCATTGAAGAAACTTTTTGGATTCATAATTTGCTTCTTGAACTTCACTACTCACCACATCGGGCTACCATTGTTTATTTCGACAACATGAATGTAATGTACATGTCTGCTAACCCGGTTCAACATCGATGGACAAAGCATATTGAGATCGATCTTCATTTGTTCAAGACATGGTTACAACTAGTCACATACGAGTCTGACATCTGCCATCTCCTTCTCAGTATACTCTGACATATACCAAGAGTCTTTCTTCGTCTCTTTTTCTAAATATTTGGTCTAGCTTGAACATTCGTGATTCTCTTCTCGTTCGCACTAAGAGGGGTTGTTAGCGGATCATTATTATTTGTATTATTTGTATACATGTATAGATAGCCTAGTTTATATTAGCTCATTGTATTCGGGGCCATTTCCTATGTAATTTGTATATATTCCTTTATCTTGAATGGAATGAGGTTTACGTGAAAATATTTAGATTTCATTTATCTATACAAATATCATTATTCATTCATAGGAGATCCATCTTTAGGTCTTACATTGAAATTTGTTCTATCCTCAAACTTTTTTTCTGTTCCTCCACTGCAAAGAGGATCGTACTATTGTGTCGTAATTGCTAGAAATGGTAAGTTAATGTAAGGGGCTAAAGTGAATCTTTTGGTCTCTCTTTATTGGTTATTGTTGTCGTCACCCTTTAGGCTATTTGAAGTGGGTCCCAAAAACACGCGATATAGCTGAGGTGGACAACCAAGTCACGTGTGAACACCGCTCCAATGTCCGATAGCTTGGCTGTGGAGTGGCCATGGAGACGGATGAAGACCACACATGTAATTGTTTAAGCTCTTTTTGACCGTTTCTTTACATGTGATTGGCTAATCTTTATGTTCTAAATTAGTTTTTATTTAATTTAATATCAAAATAAATAAATAAAGAATGTGAAGTGGTAATCATTTTCAAAGGCTAGTGATTTGACAGTGAGATTGTAGTGAAACTGATGTGACGTTGAGCTGGTAACTGCTCTCCTTAACCTTATTAGCAAGCGCTTGTTGTATTTTTTTCACGGCATCTTATGCCATATGGCGATAGTTGTTTGTATTGTGTGTTTGGTTGGATGTTTGTGCAGCCGCAGTTAGGATATAAGCACAGTTAGTCTAACAGCGGCAATATGGTTCGTCACCTGGGACAAACAAATAAAGGGTATTTATTGTGAACGCTTTTTGGCAATGTATTAAAAAAAAAAAAAAAAAGCAACTCTATTGCTTTGATTATTCCTTAAACAATTGGGCACCGCTAAAAGTGGATGCTTTCGTTTGAGGAGCAACCATGGATAAAATGGCGGCCTTATCCAAGACATGGTTTACTATTAAGAGCACCACTTGTCATCACAATGGGGATACAACATTGCTAATTTACACTCTTTGAATTGGGATTTTTGGTGTGTTAATCATCTTTTGCTTTGATCTAATTTTTCCTATTTGCTTCTTGAGAGCATGTTTCTATCAACTTTCTATAACCATATTATTATTTAAATTAAGAGGATGTTTAGATAGAAAAAAAAGATGGTATTTATTGTTTATTGTTTATTTCCATCATAATAAGTTAAATTTAAGTGTTTAGATAAAAATCCTTAAAAATCAGTTTATTGTTGTAGAGATAAGCTAAATAAACTGATTTTAATAAACATATCCCTCATTGTTTATTGTTTATTCCCATGGTAAATAAGCTAATAAACTATAATATAATTTATCCAAACACCCCCTAACCCATCGCCATTCAAAAAGAGAAAATTATAACTCGCCAATATTAGCATTCTACACAAATGCAAGAAAAACAATGGATAAATCAGACAATTACATTCCTCATCATCGATACCACGGTTAATATACAAAGCCCTTTAACGGATCTTAAAAATTGAGAAAACTTCATATGCTCAGAATCATTATAATAATATTATTATTGTTGATTTCTCCAATAGTATGAAGTTTATACGATCCTAACTTAAATGATTAAATTAGAGAGATTACATTTAATACGTATTTTCAAAGAAATGTCATTTATTATATGAACCGTTGTTCTTTCCTTCTTGGTCTTGCATGCATCCATTAAGTATATTTTTGGGAGAGTTTATTTGTAAAAGTTATTCCTAAACTAAATTCTTAGGTCTTATCTTCCTCAACAAAAAGCGTTGAAACAGTTCGACCTACTTAAAATCACAAAATTCAAACATACAACCCACCCATGGTTGAATAAAACCACTTAAAACTTTAAAAAATTGATCATAAAGCCAAAATTTCAAGGCTTTAAGCCCAATCAATGTCATTGTCATTCAATCTTTCAATCTTTTCATGTATACCCACTCTCCTAACACAATCAACTATTCTTGTTTTCACAAATTCTTTAGTTTTCAACTTTTCTAAATAATCACAACTGATCTATCGCTTACCAAATCACGTGTGACTCATTCTTGATTTCCCATTTCCACATAATCAATCACCTAACCATATGATTACAAAATACTTTGTTATCCAAGTAAAATCACTAGTAAATTAACTAAAAATTAAACCATAAGGCAAATATATACGAAAAAAACACAAATACATGAATAAATTATTATATTCTATAATATAATAATGATTATAATCTAAAAATTTATAGAGTGACCCACTAAAATTTAACTTACCCGAAATCGAAAAAAAAAAAAAAGTCAAAGTTAGTAAGTGACCTTTCCACCTGTTTTTATAGTTTTGGCTTTTTGCTTATTAATAGTTCATTAGCTGGTGTCTAGTGACAACACAATATAAGGTCCCCCTTTTGTAGGCCTATTTATTCATTTCAAACTTTCCCATCACCACCACCACCACCCTCCGCCACATTCTGCCACCATGCACCTCCACCACCTCTGCTTTGTGTTACCATCTGACGGCGATGACATACACCCATTTGATCACCACAACCGCCGCCTCCCTCCTTCTACACCACCAACACCACCATCTAAGACCCGATCATGTGGTGCTAACCTCCAAGAGGTCCTCCGTAGAACACTTCATAGATTCTGTGTAAAATCACCGCCGGCGATCTTCCATGACACCGACGGAGTCCAATTTTCTAAAGAGACGATTGTTTCCGGCCACAATCCCAAGACTTTTACATACTCGGAGCTTTATATAGCCACCAAAGGGTTCAGCCAGGATGAAATCTTGGGGAGTGGCGGGTTTGGAAGAGTTTTCCGGGCGGTGTTGCCGAGTGATGGAACGGTGGCGGCGGTGAAGTGTTTGGCGGAGACGGGAGAGAGGTTTGAGAAGAGTTTCGCGGCGGAATTGGTGGCTGTGGCCCATCTCCGTCACCGGAACCTAGTCCCACTACGTGGGTGGTGTGTTCATGAAGATCAGCTCCTTCTCGTTTATGACTACATGCCAAACCGCAGCCTTGACCGGTTGCTTTTCCGGCGGATGGAAAACAGTGGAACTCCGGTGCCGGTGCTTAGTTGGGAAAGAAGAATGAAAATAGTGAAGGGTTTGGCGGCGGCGCTGTTTTACCTCCATGAACAGCTGGAAGCTCAGATCATCCATCGTGATGTGAAAACAAGCAATGTAATGCTTGATTCTCATTTTAATGCGAGGCTTGGTGATTTCGGGTTAGCGAGGTGGCTGGAGCATGAACTCGGGTACCAGACAAGAACGCCGTCGATGAACCACCAGTACCAGCCATGCCGGCTGGTGGACACGACAAGAATCGGCGGAACAATTGGTTATTTACCACCGGAGAGCTTCCAGAAAAAAGGTGTCGCCACCGCAAAATCTGATGTTTTCAGTTTTGGCATTGTTTTGCTGGAGATTGCTTCAGGGAGGAGGTCAGTGGATATTACACTTCCCGATGATGAAATCATTCTCGTCGATAAAGTCAGAAGATTAGCAGACGAAAAGATGATTCTCAACGCCGCCGATGGCCGGCTGCCAAATGGGTCCTACAACCGTCATGAAATGTCCCACATGATTCGTCTCGGGTTGTTATGTACACTCCATGACCCGAAAACCCGACCCAGTATGAAATGGATCATCGAAGCACTTTCCGGCGGGATTTGCGCCACCATCCCGGAGCTTCCTTCTTTCAAATCCCACCCTCAGTACATATCTGTAACTCGTAGCACCCCCACCACCACAGCCACCACGACTTCCGCCACAACAACCACCACTACTTCTTTCGCAATTGCTTCAAGTGGCGGCTCAACCACCTTCGCCACCGCCAGGGGAGAAAGCCTGTACATAACCGCCGAACAAGAACAAGAAAACAGTGCCGATATCGGTGACGGAATGATCTCTTCTGCACAAATGAGCCGCCGTCAATTAAGCTCCTTTCCCATGGTTGAACCTCCGAGGGAGATCACCTACAAAGAACTTCTCTCCGCCACTGACAATTTCTCAGAATCTAATCGGTTATCAGAGGTTGATTTCGGAACTGCTTACTACGGCGTTCTTGACAACCATGACATTATCGTAAAGCGGCTCGGGATGAAAACATGTCCGGCGCTCCGCCTCCGTTTCGCGAATGAACTCTCAAATTTGGGGAAACTCCGCCACCGGAACCTGATACACCTCCGTGGGTGGTGCACTGAACAAAACGAGATGCTGGTGGTTTACGACTACTCCGCTAATCGTCTCTTAGGTCATCTTCTTTCCCATCACACCCACCGGAAATCACAGGTCCTAAAATGGGATCATCGCTACAACATCGTGAAATCCCTCGCCTGTGCAATCCGATACCTTCACGAAGAATGGGAAGAACAGGTTATCCACAGAAACATCACATCATCCGCCATATACATCGACCCAGACATGAACCCTAGGCTCGGATCCTTCGCTCTTGCAGAGTTCTTAACAAGAAACGAACACGGACATCACGTAGTGGTCGACAAGAAGGTTTGTGTTCGTGGGATTTTTGGGTACATGGCGCCGGAATATATGGAGGCAGGGGAAGCTACAACAATGGCGGACATCTACAGCTTCGGCGTGGTGGTTCTGGAGGTGGTGAGTGGGCGGATGGCGGTGGATTTCCGACGGCCTGAGGTGCTGTTGGTGAAAAGGGTTCATGAATCTGAAGGATACGAAGGCAATTATGAAGAACTGGTGGATCCAAGATTAGATGGAGAGTATAATCGGAAAGAATTGGTGAGGTTGGTGAAGTTAGCGATGGCGTGCACACAATCTAACCCTGATTTAAGACCGACGATGAGAATGGTTGTGAGTGTACTTGATGGCCATGATAGATGCTTCATAGAAGAAGGGCAAAAGGAAAGTATAAATGAATGGAAAGAAAGAAATGCATTATCTTTGTCACTTATTAGACGAATTCAAGCTTTGGGAATACAATGAAAATGGAACCACGAACTAGGATTTTAGCATGGTGTATAAATGGAGAAATCAAGAATAGATTTTTTTTCTTGTTTTTGGTGCTTAATTTGTTGCATATATGATATATGACATGTATGTATGTATGTAAAAGTTTTATCAAGTTTAACGTTGTGTATATCTACAAATATAGATTAATCTATATTGTTCTCTCTTTAAGGGATAGTGATCTTTAGCAAGCTAGGATTGGATGAAAGTTAGCAATGCTTTGTGTGAAAAGAATAACCCAAATAGAAGCCATGATTTAATAACGGAAGGTCAACAAGACCATGACCTCAATGGCTCAGCATGCATGATACCCAATACATAACCCTCAAGACGCCATTGATAGATGCAAGTAATTGGCATTCAAACTTGAAAATCAAGGCAATTATATTGATTTATGGGGTGTTTGGAGAGGAAAAAAAAAAAGGTTGTTTATTGCTTATTGCTTATTCTCACCATAATAGACTAACTTTTAATGTTTGGATAAAATCTTTAAAAATCAGTTTATTAAACTAAATAAGCTAATTTTAATAAGCATTTCTCTTCATGTTTATTGTTTATTGCTTATTCTCACCACAAATAAGCTAATAAACAATAAGCTGATAAGCTAATCCAAACACCTCCTTATTAAGGATTGGGTATGAAACAAGAAAAGGAACACTCGACAAAGTATAAGTTACAAAAATATGATGTTACATAAGGCTATCGGGAGTAGTGGGCAACACCCACTTTCGTTATTAAGGGTGATAATGCCTAATAACGCTTAAGAACACCGTCTCTCTCCATCGTTATTGCGCGTTATAGATATATCTGTTGCTTTCCGTTACCACCACAACATCTGGTAACAAAGTTTTTTTTTTTTTTTTTTTTTTTCTAATAATGTGTGTGGGCGTTGCCTACTCCTATCACTCTAAAGGAATCTATTCTAATAAATGTTTTCTCATTTGTTGCATTCTTATTCAATTTGTCAAATGTTATTTTGTGGTTATTTTGAATTAATTTTTTTTTTCACATGTTATTTTATGAGTTTTTCTAATTTATTAAATTCTATATAATATTTTAATGTAATAATTACAATAATCTATTCTAATAAATGAAAGTTTTTTTTGTCACTTGTCACACTCTCATTCAACTTGCTAAATATCATTTTGTGATTATTTTGAATTAATATTTTCTATATGTCATTTTATAAGGTTTTTTTTTCTATTTTATTAATTTTTATATAATATTTTACTGTAATAATTGCAATTAATGTTGTAATAAATGGATATCAGTTTCATTAATAAACTTACATTTTAATTTTAGAATTCTCAAAATTAAAGCTTATTAGTTTGTTTTATATATTTATTTAAATTATTTGTTTAAATTTAAAAAATAAAAAACATTTCCATTATAATAATTAATTATTTTTTTAAAGTTTTTTATAAATTCAAAGTTCTCAAATATTTAGAACTTTATATTTACCTTTTTTTAAATTAACTCATATAATACATGAATCTCACAACTGATTTAGAATATTTGAAAGGAGAATTAAATATGAGTGTGATCTATTAGTTGGATTACCAAAAATACCTTTTAATTTAGAATTTGATTTCATAGTTTCCAAGTTATGTTTTTTAAGCATTGAGAAAAAGAACAAAGAAAAGACTCCTAGTTTATAGTAAAAAGAGTCGGACACCAAATCAAGATCTAAACCAATGTGGACTCCCAATGGTTGAAAGATATAAGTTAAATAAATAAATAAATAAATAAATAAAAACTTGTAAAGACCCAAAAATCAAGGGTAAAAATTTCATTTTTAGTATAGCTAAAACATTGATATAATTTATCCCAAACATTCAAATCATCATTAAGTAAAACATGTATCAGAGTTCATCCCAAACTCATTCGTTGCAGAATTCATAGGTGTGTACTGCGATCAATCTGAGCCCTTCTTTTCCAAATCGATGATATTTGAAACAAAAACTATAAACCGTAAGCACAAAGTTTAGTGAGTTTCCTAGAGCATATCCCACACAATCCACATAACCGCATGATCCAAACTAGCTATAACAACTATGTAAACCATATCAATCACACAAGTCATGCATATAAACATATAAGGATGTTGTGGGCTCCCCCCCAGAGTCTTATACCTTCATCTCATGGGCTCCCCCCGTGGTCTTTTCCTAGGAATGCCATGGACTCCCCCACATGGTCTTATATCCAATGCTACGGGCTCCCCCCCTTGGGGGTCTTCCATGCAAGTATCTATCATAACTAGTAGTTTAAGGCTAGGAAATACGTCCATGTGTAATTACTTTTGGAGAATTCTTGTAACCCTAAGTATTACGTTATACATGGTATTCATTCAACAACAACAATTCGAATCAAAATTCACACGTGAAGCCCTAAACCAAATTCAATGCACTACACTCACTCAACTTTGGGTTTGAAATCCTAACTTCCCGGTTCAAACTCTTATTGGACCAGGATCCTCTTATTGGGCCTAATGGGCCAATAAACCCTTAACTTAGTTCTTTTGGGATAAGAAACCTCATTTAGGCCCTATTGGACCCACACTCATTAAGCAATATTATATTGGGCCATAAAATTCTTCATGGGCCTTATTGGATCGAAAACCATTCAATTGTTTTTCATGGGCCAAAAACCCATTCCTTTTACTCATTTGGGCCAAAAACGAGTATGAGAGCCCAATAGGCCAAAAAATTTATTTTTGGGGAACACAAATTCGGTTGATAATCAAATATGAGCCCAACATCTAAATTTCTTTCCTTTCCTCACCCCATTCTCGATTTTTAAATTAAAAAAAAAAAGGAAAATTGAATTAATTTTAAATTAGTGACACATCCTTATTGCATGGAGGATGTCCATGCAATTAATCTCCCATACATCTAGAAAATCCCATACTTCCATGCAAGCCCAAAGATATATTCATAGGGTGCACTCTAATGCTAAATAATCACTCGTTTCAAATAAATTTGATGCCAGTAGATATTAGAAGTTTTGATGTGATTATAGGCATGGATTGGTTAAGCTCCCATCATGCCGACATTATGTGCCACGAGAAGGCCGTTTTCCTTCATCTACTCAACCACGAAACCCTAGTAATATACGGTGATAAAATTGGAGCCAATCTCCGTCTTATCTCATGCATCAAGGCACAAAAATGCTTGCACAAGAAAAATTATGCCTTCCACGCCCATGTTGCGGATAAAACAAAAGAGGAAATAAACATCAAAGATATCCCAGTGGCATGTGACTTTCCGGACGTATTTTCTGAAGATCTTCGGAGAATACCCCCAGAAAGACAAGTCCAATTTCGAATTGGACTAATATCAGGAGCCACATCAGTTTCCAAATCACCCTATAGGTTAGCTCCAGCCGAAATGCAGGAGTTATCAAGTTAATTAAGCAAACTCTTAGACAAAGGATTCATCAGGCCTGGCTTCTCACCCTGGGGAGCCCCAGTCTTGTTTGTCAAGAAGGACAGATCCTTCAGAATGTGCATCGACTATCGGGAGTTGAACAAACTCACCATCAAAAATCGATATCCACTCCCTCAGATTGATGATCTATTCGACCAGCTTTAAGGATCCAATTATTTATCTAAAATAGATCTAAGGTTCGGTTATCATCAGCTACGAGTCCGGTAAGAAGATATCCCCAAAACTGCTTTCCGAACCCGATATGGTCATTATGAATTCATTGTTATGCGCTTCGGTCTGACAAATGCTCCTGCAATATTTATGGACCTCATGATTTGAGTCTGCCACCCATTCCTCGATAATTTTGTAATCGTTTTCATTGATGACATACTCATATACTCTCGAAGTACGGAGGAGCATGACAAACATCTACGCAAGATCTTGGAAACTCTTAGAGTTGAAAAGCTATATGCAAAACTCTCCAAATGCGAGTTCTGGATTCGCAGTGTGAATTTCTTAGGGTATGTAGTCAGTGAGAAAGGAATACATGTGGATCCTTCCAAGATCAATGCTATTGAAGACTGGGTGATTCCGAAAATGCCAACGGAGATTAGGATATTCTTGGGTCTTGCTGGTTACTATAGAACGTTCATTTAGAATTTCTCCAAGATTGCCAAGCCCCTCACCATTCTCACCTAAAAAGGCATACCCTTAAACTGGATTGACAAACAAGAAGCTGCCTTTTAAACCGTAAAGTTAGCCCTTTGTAGTGCTTCGATTTTATCTTTTCCATAGGGGCTGAAAACTTCGTAGTATATTGTGGCACTTCAAATCAGGGGTTAGGCTATGTTCTTATGCAACGCGGAAAAGTGATAGCTTACGCGTCCAAACAATTGAAGACACACAAGATAAATTACACCACCCATGATCTCGAGATGGGCATTGTGGTCTTCTCCCTACAAATTTCGAGGCACTACCTTTATGGTACAAAGTGCAACATCTTCACGGACCACAAAAGCCTCCATCACATTCTAAATCAAAAGGAGCTACATGAGGCAACGAAGGTGGGTTAAGCTGCTAAATGATTATGAATGCGAGATCAAGTACCACCCAGGCAAGCTAACGCGGTGGCCGATGCCCTAAGCAAGAAGGAATACTCGGGTCGCTGAGTGAAAACACTAACAATAGCCCTCCACTCCCACTTAACCTCACAGATCAAAAAAGCTCAACTGGAGGCATTAATACCTGAAAATGCCGCAAATGAAGCACTGCATGGAATGGATAAAAATCTTGAAGTCAAAGAAGACGGAGCTTAGTATTTCATGAATCGACTCTGGATTCCAAAATTTAGGGATTTAGAGATATGACCATGAACGAAGCACATAATACACGATACTCCTTCCACCCAGGTTCCGATAAGATGTACCTAGACATTAAAAAACATTATTAGTGGCCGAGCATGAAAGCAGAGATTGCCACTTATGTGGGCAAGTGTCTCACTTGTGCCAAAGTGAAAGTGGAATATCAGAAGCTCTCGGGATTGTTATAACA